GAGGTACTATGCAGTGGTTAGTTAAAGAGAAGTAAAGAGGAAAAACATTTCCCTTGCATATTGTAACTTTTTATACTCCTAAATCTTTTTCTAGTTTTTCATATGTGTTGCTTCTATTTAAAAAAAAAAAAAAAAGTGACTAGAAATAATTGGTCAGTGACATTGTGACAAGTGTATTAGCAGATACTTAATATTTTTTGAGACAGGGTTTCTCTATGTAGCTTTGGTGCCTGTCCTGGATCTCACTCTGTAGACCATGTTGGCCTTGAACTCACAGGGATCCCCCTGCCTCTGCCTCCCAAGTGCTGGGATTAAAGGCGTGTACCACCACCGCCCAGCCAGATACTTAATGTTTTAAAATGCTAGAAGTCTTTCAAATAAAGAGCTGAGAACTCAGGAGAAGGAAGAGCAGAAGGTGTGTCTCTGATAAGCTGGTCAGAATGAGTTGAGGGAGGGATTTCCAAAGAGGTAATTAGAGGAACTGGACTACACCATCCATCTGCAGGGGACAAGATACCACTGTCAGGGAAGACCTGGGAGACACAAGGCTAAAAGAATAAACATGAAGCCATGTCCCTGTAGAGGCAGGAAGGGACTAAGTCAGAGCAGGCCCGACACAGGTAACTAGGAAGGGGGAAAGAAAATGTATACCTGAACAGAGATGTTTTGAGGTATACAAGAGTTCATGTAGGATGGCCTCTGTGTGATCAACAAGAAGGAAGATGGATGAGAAACAGGGGCCTCAGAGAAAGGAAAAGACTAGAGTGACAGTTGTGATGAGGATGCTATTTGACCACGAGACATGAGTAACATGATGCTTGAGCCGCAAGGACATCTCCGGGGAGTTTGCACAGCATCTGATTGCTGATGATACCCAACAGAGCTGTGACTTCCTCTAATCTAGCAGGGCAGGATAACCTGGGTACCAGTCTAGAAGAGAAAGAGATGTGAAGAAGGAACACAATAATGAGGATTAGCAGTTAGGGACTGAAGGTGGCTTTATGATCAGACTGGACTTTCCTATTTTCTAATTATGAAGCCACAGGTAAGGCACTAATCCCCTAAGCCCATGTCACTCTGTGTAAAGTAGGGAATAAAATCTCAACCTCAGATTTTTGTTTGAAGATGAGACTGAAATCGTATCTGCAGCCTGTAGACACCTGAGCAAAGGGTTAGTGCTGGTTTTGGAGTAGTTCCTTCTATCTAGAGGCAGTCAAGCAGTGTGATTAGATCAGAAGTGAGCAGGTGGAGAACATGACCAAAAGCATGACCCTGGTGACAGACCACGTGGGATTTATTATCAACTCTGATGCTCACTGATCATGAGGCTTGGAGCAAGCACACTGTCATCTTCTTGCCTTTATTTATGCAACTAAGTGAGGACATTTGCATCATGTCCTCAGGGTTAATATGAAGTATAAAATGCTAGAATGGTACCTGGTATACAGTAAGCATCGTTTGAGACTTAGCTATATTGCCATTAGTTATAACAAAAACCAGCCACTACAATAACACGCATGAGGTTTTTCAAAGGTGGGAAACTTGAAAAGTGGAGACATGGATAGGCAGCTAAGAAGTCAAGAGTTGCCAAGGATTGCAAGTAGAATGGATATAGATTACCATGGTTGACCATGGCTGACCAATTTCAAAGCTATTTTCTGAAAAGTTAAAGGAAATTGTTATTGCTTCTTGGTAAGAGCAAGGATAGATAAACAACCCTACCAGTAACTTGTGAAATAGTCTAGTAGGTCTGTGTACCACCAGCACTGACCACACTGAAGTTGCTTCCTGGGCTGACCGTTGGTTGGCTTTCTGTAGTTGGCTCTTGTGGCTTCTATTTGTTTTGCTTCTCCCTGGCTTCCCTTTTTGAATATTTTCTTAATGTAGATTCCTTAGCAGTTCACTGCCTCTTACATTAGCAATTCAAGTTTGTTTACCCGATTTTATACAATGGAAGTAGTGGTTGCTCCAGGATACCCACTAGGAGATAAAGCAGAATAGTGTAGTTAGAAAGGTACTCACCATGCTCTCACATCAGGCCATTGTAGCTTGAGCCCTAAGAATACGTTCTAGTCTGCTATATGTTAAATGTGATGTGTGTTCAATTTGTAACATGTGAATTGAGTTAATGTTCTATAGCAAGAAAAATTAATTTGTCTTTCACATTAGTGTCTGGGAAACATGGGACAGATGAAGTAAACAGCCATGGCTTGAGTCATCAGGGCATTGGTTACTACCGATGACTAGAGAGGGCTGTCCCTCATAAAGCTATCAAATAGGGGCTTTGAAAGGTCTGTTATTCCTCAGCCAACTCTGATAAATAAATAAAAAAAGCTAAAATAAAATAATTGCAGACTGTTATAAAGTCCTGCTGTTTTTGGTGTTTTTTTTTTTTTTTTTTTTGCAGACTGTTATAAAGTCCTGCTGTTTTTGGTGTTTTTTTTTTTTTTTTTTGAGACTTTCTGAAAGGAAATTTCACAATCTACCTAAGAAATATAGATTTTTTTTAAAAATAATCCTCTGTGTAGGAAAGGTCATTTTAATATCCAACCAGACACCTGATTGCTTTAACAAAAGGCCGTTTCTATTCCTGTTAGAGATGGCAAAAAGCCTTTGTTTACTAGCTTCCTCCTAAATAGATAGTCATTGAGTGCCTACTATGGGTCTAGTCAATTCTTGGAACAATCCCTTGTGGATCCCGTTGCCAAGAAGTAAATACTACCCTTGCCTTCCCAAGGCCCTATTTCCCACTCCCTATTTCTCTTTGGACCTTCCTCTGTGGGTGCTTCACTGCATTTGTACACCCCTCCCTGCTTTCTTCACAACTTGGAAATAACAGGTTTCGCAATCGGGTGTTCTGGTTGTTTTTTGCTGTGTCTGTAGACGTAGATTATACTTAACTATTTTTTTTTCTCTCAGATATGCTGGAGCCTTCCGTGCTCTGCCTAAAGCTTTTGTGACTTTTAGTAAAATGAAGGTAGGGTTGAAGAGAACAGGAAAGACAACAGCAACACAATGGTGTGCAAAGCCTTGCTTTTTAAATAGAAAGGCCCAGCATCCTGTGCTCACAAAAGCAGAGTAGCCCTGCTCAACCAGTGCTTTCTTTCATTCAGAATCCCTTTGAGCCAAGAAATCAGCAACTCTGGGTCTGTGAGAAGACCAATAGTTATAAACAAATATGTACAAATGGAAATGCAAAGGAAATTCTTTTCCCTTCTTTCTTTCTTTCTTTCTTTCTTTCTTTCTTTCTTTCTTTCTTTCTTTCTTTCTTTCTTTCTTTCTTTCATTCATTCATTTATTATTTATTTATTTATTTATTTATTTATTTATTTATTTATTTATTTATTTTTGGTTACATGTGTGTTGTTGCATTCATTTGTGCTTGTGAGTGCAGATACACACGGAGGTCAGAAGAAGAGTATTAGATGCCCTGGAGCTGGAGTTACAGGCAGTTGTAAGCTGCCTTATATGGATGCTGAGAACCAAACTCTCAGGTTGTTTGCAAGAATGTTCTTAAGCATTAAGCCATCTCTCTGCTCCCTTGACTCACGTGAAATACTTTTAATGTAATAGTTTATTCTTGCACCTTAAGTCAGATGATTCTGAAAATTTTCCTGGGAGAGCAAACGTGGTGAACCATTCCTAACCTTAATCTAAAGGGAAAGGATCGGAATGATGATGATAACTCTGCCTGCTTGTATATCAAGGACCAAAATGGGGATCTGGGTGGGGGAGGCAGCTTTCCCTTGCTTCCCTCTTTTGTCTCCCTGTGCTAGCATCCGGTGATTTCCATTTCAAACTCATGCATTTTTACCTTGGTAATCTCCCTGGCTCCTGTCTGCCTGTTTCAGTGCTTGGAACTCCAAGAATGTCTTTATCTCTACTTCACAAGCTCAGCAGTGAAGCAGCTGCAGCCAGTACATAGCCGAGCTGCTTCCCTGCATGTGCTCCTTTATTGGGAAGGTGTGTGCTCCCCAGAAGTACCTTTTCAATGGTGGTATCATCGCTCAGCAATACACACGGAAGGAAAAGAGCTGACTCAATCCAAAGTCTGCTTACTGTGCCTGGTGTCCTGGTGTAATGTGTCTACTGTGCTCAGTGTGCTCTCTGCCCTGGGTACCGTTCTTCCCTCCAAGGAAACACGGGGGATGGGAGCAGAATCAGGTTGGTGGATGCCTCCTTGTCCCTCCAGAATATTGACAGGCCATAGCACGGAAATTCTGCAGTGGAGATGTGGCTAATTGTGCCCACAGTTCTGGGTGGTGAGAGCAGTGGGTCTGCCAGTACCCATCCTGGAATCAGAATGAAGCTTTGCATCACACCCTCTTGCATGGCACATCTTCATGATGCTTTGCTTATTAAATGTGTCTGTGGACTTCTAACCCTTCAGCCCTGACTCCTGATGGCTGTGCTCCTCTTTGCCCATTATTTTTATGTGTTTACTACACTCCTGCTGGTTTGGTTCGGCTTCATCTCCTCATTCACTCTTTAATTTGGTAACACCTTATTTTATGGCCCACTAACTTTTTTGAAAATAAATTCACTTTGTACTGCTGTGACTAGCATTACCCATTTGATAAGTACCATTTTAGGGTGTGGGAAAGGCATAGTAAGTGTTATGCAATTACAAGGTAAATATATGATGTGTTTCTTTTATTCCCCCTCAGCCCAACACTGGATGACAGAATCATTATTTTGGACCCATTACGTGTACTTACTACATAATCTGTTGGGAAATTAATTATGTAGTTTGTTCTTGCCACCTTCCATTTCCATACATTTTGAGATGATGCCTCTTCTAGAATTACCTTGCTTCAGATAATTCTCCTATGTTGTGTTATAATAGCCATTATCAGTCTGCTTCTGTGATGAGCCATGCCCATGATGTATCTGGAAAAGAATGGGAATTCAGCTGTAGCATATCCTGGGGGTTGGGGAGACATCCACATCCTAAAACTAAACTAACGTTTTTATTTTTGCTTTGCCCATGCATTCAATAGGATGGAGTAGGAGAGGTATGGGAGAAACAGCATGTGCCCTCTGAGAGAGCAGCCCCCTAACAAAGTGTTAGAGTCTAACATTGACTTGGTATCAGAAAATATTTGCCATGGACACAAGAGCCCTTGACAGCAAAGATATTCATGTTTCACATAAAAATTGCTCTCATGATGATTACATATGCAAAAACCAAGGTTATTACTGTGCTCTGACCCTGAATATTTATATCAAAGTTGACATATTTGTAAACTCTGATCTCTTCTCTTTTAACTCACAGACCATGTTAGCATCTTACTCTAGACAGATTTGTGCAAATGCATGTGCCCCAAGCCCCCCATGAGCAGAGAAGCCACCCTTTTCTTTGTCATTTGTGTGAGTCTGTTTTTGCTGAAATAAAAGTAAAATATGAAAACACTTTTCAGGTAACTATGACTTCTTTAAATAAGTTAAGGAGTTGTCTGTTCTTACTAGAAAAATGTTATATTCATTGCAAAATTCATTCTCTCCAAGTCTATTACATGGTAAGCTACCTTAATAGAGCTAAGATATTTGACTAGCCCTGCTCTGATTTATACAAGGAATTTTAGAAACACAGCTATTATGAGAATGAGAGTCTAACTTGTAGCTAGCTTCCTGCGTGATCTGAGCAGTAGGCTTCAGACTCCAGAAGCATATCATGTTATGTCCTGGGGTGGCTCTATGGCTTGAGCCCATGTTAGCCACTTAGGTCTTCTCTTGTGTCTTTCAGGCATTGAGAATGCCAGCGACATTGCTCTGTACTCCGGCTTGGGGGCAGCCATCGTGGCCGTTGCAGTCCTGGTCATTGGTGTCACCCTCTACAGACGGAGTCACAGTGACTACGGCGTGGATGTCATTGACTCTTCTGCATTGACAGGTGGCTTCCAGACCTTCAACTTCAAAACAGTTCGTCAAGGTCAGCGGCATAGGTCCCCCAACACCTTATCCTCAATACCATGGGCTGCACTCACACAGGTGTCCCCACGTTCTTGGCCCTGTGTGAAGGTAGCTCTTGGTACTGGGAGCCGCTACCAAATTGTTTCCATGCATTAAAACACCAAATCTGATAAAGTGACCTTCTTGGTCCTCAGCAACTGTGAGGACGCATGGGTCTCACTTCATTACTGGCAACCTTTCAGTGAAGTAGTTCAACCTTTGATGTATAGAGTTCTTAATGAATTACTATTCTCATATTATCCAGCTTTATCTCTGAAGAAACCTGATTTTAGTTTATATGCTTAATTGCATTAACTAAGATACTGAGTACTGAAGGCTGAGGAAACAGCCCTAGACCACAACTTCCCAAACACTTTTATCATGCACTGTTTAATAATTGCTTCAATTTCAAATAAGTAAAAAGTCAGCTAGACAATGACTAAAGGAAATTCCAGCCTAAATGACGTTCAGCTATTGCCAAGTCCAACCAATCTTTTGTTGTAGGGGAAGAAACATTTTTCATGTCAATGCACAGCAATGTTTTTTTTCAAAACAGAGTCATTCGATTCTCTGTTATGAACCGAGGAAGAGTTACATTTGGTTTTAATTTTAGGCAAAAAGGAACTGTCTCTCTTCAAAGGATGAAGTTTCCTACCTTGACCCTCATCATCCACATCCTCCCCTTTATTTCTACTCATTGTATGGATATTACCTGTCCTGGAGATTGACCAGTTTCTGTGCTCAGCATCTGTTGGGTAGACAGGCTGCTAAAATAGAAAACCCAAAGCTTCTGGACCAAGCAACTGAGACATGACTACGAGAGATAGGCTTCTCCCCCTGGCTTTTATTTCTGGGCCCCTTTGTATTAAGTTGCTATTGTTAAGCCAGTATTATATGCAAGTTCACATGCTTTAAAGCTAGTTATATTAGAGTATGAAACTGCTATGAAGCAACACAGTTACTGTGAGTCACTGCTTCACAACTATAAAATGCTAACATCCTCCTCATGGTGTTCTTGTGAAATTGAATTTGCCTAGAATAACTTGGGGAAGCCCTTGGCATTTGGGAAGAGCTCATGTTCTGAATATAGCACTAGATAGTCACGTGTTCTTTGATCAAGGGATGTCAACATGTTCTGTGGAGTAGCAAGTAACAGATACGAGAGGTGGGCAGTGGCCTGGCCTGAACATATTCGGAGAACAGTGATTTACATAAGTTGGACACATCTTCTCATAGAGGAGTGTCTCATTTTGTTGGTGCATTGTGAATCTCTAAAAGAATCACTTCATCAAATCACCTGACTATCCTGCTTATTTTTGGCTAAGAATTTCATAAATCTCATGATAGAAAATAAAATATCTTTTGGTAACTGCTACTGTCCCCATATCCATTGATAATGATCTTTGCTTTTATAGACTGTGATTTTACTTTCCACTGTCATGAAGATGATATCTTCATGAACAATATATCTAGTACCCCAGGCAGGGGAACAGTAAGAATGTTAAGCAGAATGGTGGCCCAGTTTCATTCCTACAGTGAAATTGTAACAAAATACCCCAAAGGGGGAAAAAAAAAAACCTCAAGGGAAAGAGGGTTTATTTGGCTTACAATTGTAGATGGTAATTCCATCTTTCCTGGGAAGTCAAGGTCAGAAACGGAAGCAGCTAGTCATGTCCACAGTCTATCGCAGACAGAAATGAATGTCTTTGGTCTTACTTGTGCTCACTCCACTCTCTCCACTCTTACACAGTTCAAGACTCAAACCCAGGGCAGAATGATGCTGCCATAGTAACCATGTCCTTCCCACATCGGTTAACATAATCCAGACTGCTCCCCACAGGCATGCCCACAGGTCAATCTGACCTTGATAGTCCCTCCTTGAGATTCTCTTCTCAGGCAATTCTATGTTGTGTCCAGCTGACAGTTTAATTAAAACTAACAGTTATAAGTATCATCTGCTAGAGTGTGGCAGAACACTGACTCAGGAGGTGTAAAGCCCTGGGTTCAGTGCCTAGTGGTGCCAAATATTAGGTAAGTAGATAGAAGGAAATCTAAAAGAGAAGCATGCAGACAGAATACTATGCTTATATTAAATGAGGAAAATTGGTTTCTAAAGAGAAGATGGGGATAACCAGAAGTCTGTGGGGTGTGTGTGTGTGTGTGTGTGTGTGTATGTGTGTGTGTTTGGGGGTGGGGTAAACTGGTTCTAATCAGGCTTCAATCAAATTGACAGCCAATATTTTCAACTGTAGACTTGTACATGTGAGTGTATGTGTATGTGTGTTCTCTCTCTCTCTCTCTCTCTCTCTCTCTCTCTCTCTCTCTCTCTCTCTCTCTCTCTCTCTCCCTCTCTCTCTCCCCCCCCCCTTTTCTGTGTGTGTGTGTGTGTGTGTGTGTGTGTGTGTGTGTGTGTGTGTGTGTGTTTATGTGCTTCTGGTGATAGGACCCCTGACTTCACATATGCTAGGCAAGCATTCTACCACTGTGCCCCACCCTTAGCCTTGTATATACTTCTATAACCAGGCATTTCCCATGTCTGTGTGGTCTACATTTCAGAAATAATTTTCCCCATGAGCTAGGTAAGTCTTTTAAGAGTAGCCAAAAATTAAGCTGCAAAAGGTGGGGGGTTTGTGATCAAATATCCAGGAGATTTGGAGATATGAGTTTTTGAAGTCTCCATGGAAACTGCCGTTTCAAACTGTTTTCAAACAGGCTACATTCTTCAGTCCCACTTTTTCCTTGGGAAGACCACACACAAGAGCAAGGTCTTCATCTATTGAACTCAGTGTGGTTCTGTTAAAAAGGACCCTTGATGGTGGCTGCATCGTGGCACAACAGCCCAAAGATGGAGAAAGGGCATCATCCAAGGGCCATGAGAGCTGCTTTCTGTCATTGTATTTATTTTCTCTGTGATTCTTGGTTCTTAGCACATCCCAACTAGGTGTGAGAAAAGCCAAGGTGATAGATTCCCCTCTTGGCACTCTTACAAATTAGGAAAACAGAAAAACAATAGAGACTAATACAGTACAGCCGAGAATTGAAACATTTTTTTTTGGTTGGGTCCCAAAGGGAAATCGTTTAATATGATTTGGGTTTCAATTTGAGCTGTCGTATTGATGAACTGATATGGTTCGGAGGCTGGGGAGTGAGGGTTGTTCTGTTATTTACTAATAAATGAGGTTACTTCATCATGAGAAAATATCACAGGCTCCTTTTTAATGTTTGGCTTGGGGGAAAAATGGTGACCTCAACAGATGATTAAAGCCCTGATCCAATTTCTTCTGTTTTTATGAAGATTGTTTTGTTCATTTGTTTTAAGCAGGAAAGGATACCTTTCAGAGATACTTTCCATGTACAGTCCAGTCTCAGCTGGAGCATTCGTACCTTAGCAGAGTGACATACGTGATGTTCAAGGACGATGACTCCTCAGACAGAGTGATTCCTAAAGTCCCCTGAACTATTTGCTCCACAGCACCCTTCCCCCAGCTCCAGGAAGCACTCAGAATTCCACAAGGAGCTCTGCTGCAGCCTCTGTGGGCTCATGTAAGCAGCACTGAGAGTCACCACGCTGTGGCATCTCTTGCTACTTAAAAGGAACAGATGTTATTTTGCTCCAAATTGGATTGCAAAATATCTCTCTGGTTTCTTTCTTTCTATTTTTTTTTTTTAACCTTTTCTTTGCCAGTTAAAACAATCACACAAACACTACCTGAGGCACTGGCCCAACCCAGTGTCAGAATTCCTCATCTTGAAAAGAAGGCATGCAAAGAGCTCTGGATATGAAGGAGTGGGGCCCATGGCATTCAGAAAATGACCTAGAAGGCCAGAGGTACCCACTTCCAGGCACTGGTGTGTGGCTCCATCTGAGTAAGAGGGATAGTTGCTGCCGATCAGAGCACCCAACACTCAAGCAGGGTATTCTCCCATTAATAGGCAACTGCAGTAAAGTAATAGGGGCGGCTTTCAGTGTCTGAGTGACAGATCAATTTTTTCTTACCAGGAAACTCTCTACTCCTGAATCCTGCCATGCAGCCAGACCTGACAGTGAGCCGGACATACAGTGGGCCCATATGTCTGCAGGATCCGCTGGACAAGGAGCTCATGACGGAATCCTCACTCTTCAATCCTCTGTCTGACATCAAAGTCAAGGTCCAAAGCTCCTTCATGGTTTCCCTGGGAGTGTCCGAGCGAGCCGAGTACCATGGCAAGAATCACTCTGGGACTTTTCCTCATGGAAACAACCGTGGCTTTAGTACAATACATCCCAGAAACAAAACACCATACATCCAAAATCTGTCATCACTGCCCACAAGGACAGAGCTGAGAACAACCGGTGTCTTTGGCCATTTAGGGGGGCGCTTAGTAATGCCAAATACAGGTGGGTGGTAAGTGTGTGTTTGCATATCTTCCTTGTATGTGTAAAGGATTCTCTACAAGCATGCGATAACATTCATCCGATTCATTTTGGGGAAAGCAGCAGAGGCTGGGCTGCACTTGGTGTACACACAGCTCAAAAGTGCACCTGAAATAGAAACTAGCTTTCCCTGTGCGTGCAGGGACAGAACACCATGTTTGATGCTGCTGATGGTCATCTTTTCTCAGGCAGTATGGGTGGGCTCCCAGGTTTGAGATCCCTTGGAACATGTTACCTAGAGCATGGTAAGGAAGAAACAAACACAATTTTTTGCTACAACTGGCAAATGCCATGCTTATCGTGTGTGTGTGTGTGTGTGTGTGTGTGTATACACATATATATATATAGTCATGATATATATGTATATATATTGTCATGATATATATGTATATATGTACATGATATATTGTCATGACATATATATGTATATATATATATAAATATATATATACATATATATATATATGTATGTATATTGACATACTGACAGCTTAGTGCAAGAATGGTCACATTTCTCATTTTCTGGCCTATGAATACTCTCCATTACAGTGACCCTTGATAATCACATTGGTTCTTTTAAAATTATTATTGCATTGGTTGGTTCTCAGCAAGCAATGATGATGAATTTTTGCATTACTATTCTTTGAAATTCAAATATTAGTTCCAGGCCTATGCCATACACATAACTAACTTGTAAATATGTGTTTCCCTCCTTTGAGTTTTAAGAGGGGAAGATTTTCTGGATATTTTAGATCCCTGGTATAGATCACTTTTAAAATGGCATCCTAGCTGTAGATTGACCTTCAGGGTTATTGCCCGAGACCCAAGTAGAGGGGCAAGAAATTCATTTCTCTCCTGAGTCCTAAGTCATGAGAGCTAGATAGTGTGATGAGTCACAGGTAGATAGATGCTGATGTGCTGATGGCTGAGAGGGGCAGGACCATTGAATCTGGCCATGTTCTTGTATATAAATTAAGTGTAAAACCAGTGCTAAGAAATGGGGAGATGGCCGCTATTTTATTTCATAAAATGAACTCTGTGGCAGGGTCAGACTCAGAGTATGAGAGCAGCTACCTTATCTGTCTGGTTGTTTAGTGACTTGAAACTAACTTCCTCTTAACTTGACAGATGTTCTTCTGTCTCCCTGCCAGATTAGTGGTGTCCTCTCACACTGTTTCAAAATATACTTTCTTTCTGAAAAATAGCGTCTCCTGCAGCTCTAATAATGATGATGTTCTCCAAATCTTCCTTGCCAGTGTTTTAGGGCACACTAGGGTTCTTGATTCCAATATGCTTGAGTGTCCCATCAGTATGGGATGTCACTCTAACTTTGGGCTCTGGAGGATAACTGACCAATAGGAGACTCCTTTGCCACATTTATCACATGTATTCGTTAAAAAAAAAGTGAACATGTAACCCTTGTCCCACCAAAGACTAGGATGTGAAACCAGTGTTATATGAAGCCAATGAATCACCATGCCTTTATCATAGCTCCTTCCCCAGATTCTCATCCTCGTTTATTAGGGAGTATGTGTACAGGGTGCATATGTGACTATATTTACCTATAATGAGTGAGTACCAAGAGCAAAACATTCATTGCCCATTTTTGCTTAATTTTCATCAAAGAAACACAGAAATGAAAACCAGGATGAACAAAAGATGTTTCTTTTCCCTTGCCTCTCTTTGAGGAACATTCATATTATAAACAAAAAGTCTGATGGCTTGTCAGCTATTCCCACCCAGTCCACCATGAGCGGGATGCGTTCACGTTTCCTCACAAGAACCCCTGGACAAGATTGAAGCTGCACATTGCAAATGAGCTTTAGGAAAAATAGGTGTGGGGAATTGAAACATGCTCCTTGTTATTTGCAGGGCATAAATGCAAACTATGCCCTGGGGAACTGAAGTGTACAGAAAGCATGGCACCGAAATTAGATTGCTCTAATGCCATCCATCCCAAATCGCCAAGCAGTACACTGTGTAAATCATTTATTATGCAAAATATGAAAGAAGAAACTCAGACAAGTGGTTCTGTTGTCATACCAAATTTTAAGAAAAAAAAAAAACTGTTAGAGTAGCAGGTGGCATTGGGGAGCTGCATTTTTTTTTTTTTAATCAATGATAACTGATGAATGACATGTTGCAAATGGGGACTTCTTTAAGGGACTGTAGGCATGATACCTTCTCACTGTGCTCTCTTTTTCATAATCTGCAACTAGACCAACACACTAATGTCCTCTGCCCCACAACCCTTGTTCCTGTGGTTAACTGTCTTCAACCTCCATTTGCAATGTATGTTTGGGTAGGAAGTATGTTTGAAGGCTAATATCATTTATGATTGAAGGAGAGTGAAAAAACATTTAAAGAGCCAATGAGTGAGCTTCTTGATTCAGGTTGAATTTAGGAATAACATGAATAATGCTTCAATCTAAATATCAGGAATTAAGCTTGCTTGAAAGAAATGAGCTATGATAGGCTCCATACAAAGCCCCAGGCAATGACAGTCTACACAAGACAACATAACTCAGAGCCTGGTTTTATACTCAGGATTTGGAATCCTTTGCATACATTTTCAAACTGGTGATATGTTTGTTCTGTGTCAGGAAATGTGCTAAGTGTTGTTAATATAATCTGACACAGTTGCCTGATAGTCTACTGAGCTTCCACAGAAAAATCTTCATGTTTCTTTGTAATCGCGGCATAGAGATCCTGAAGAAGAATAAACAGACAAAGTCCAAACTAAGATAAGGCTGAATGACTAGGGCATAGGTTCTAGGTGACATATGGACATCCTGAATATCCCAAGTTACAGTCTGTATTCAGTACCAAGAAGGGATACCTACAATGGAGACCATGCTGTTTGGCACTTATAGTTGAGGAAGAATGGCAAATGGAAGGGGCATCTGATTGGAGGTCCCCAGCATGTCAATTATAGTTATTCTACTATTGACGTGAAGGTGCAGAATATAAATGCATCTTCTTACTGAAAAGCTGTGAGCAGGATTTTAATGTGCCCCATTCTTACTTCTAGTGAAAGATATTGATGATTACTAGCATGTTACTGACTAATGATGTAAACGTGAATCACAAATGATTTGATTCACAATAAGTCTCACATTCCTTGACTCTGTAGCTGCTAGCACACAGAGAGAGAAGAACAGGAAAGCTTGTCAACAGCAACCTGTAAGCTTCTTCTGCAATTATCTCTAACAAAAGAAAAAAAGGGTGAAAGCTGCATTGTTCAAAACATACGAGGATGCCAGAGATTTTATTTTGTGTGATTCTCTTACTATTTCTCTAGCTCATTTCTTTTTATAAGGAGAAAGTCACATTCAAGAGAATCCCGGCTTTTTCCAGATGGCTCTGTTTGTCCAAAGTAAAGTGTTTTCTTCATAGCTATAAATAGGAAACTGGGGACATTTCAGATGCAGTAGTGTGGCTTCACAATGACATAGGCATGGGCATGGTTAGGTCAGCTGCTGTTTGCAAATTTAAAGTCATATCACTTGCACAATGACCTAGAATATTCTAAAACTCATCAGATACATGGTATTTTTCCTAATTCCTTTGAAAAAGATGTGGTAATTCACAGAGCACCTTAATTTACTTCCCAATATTGCTTGTAAGACAACAACATTCCAGGTTCAATGAAAGGGTTAATTTACCCATCATCCCAGACACCTTTACTGGAAATGAGAACAAGATATATATATATAATTTTGGAGAAAGTTAATTGATGGACTAATAAAGTCTTATGTTCTTGGGTTAATTTGGTAATGTCTGGCCTTAGGATAGCCAGTCTTTTAAGGGAACTGAGTGATGCTGGCAAAATTTCAGATAGAAATGAACATTGAATATGCTCTCTTTTGGCCACTGATACAGAACAAGATCTTTCCTATGCTTTTTTGATGTCTTCAAGGTTTGATACTTATAAATCATACATTGGCAGGGGAAACTCTTTTGCATGGGCATCTATAAGGTGCCCAAAGAGCATGCTTCAAAATGATGGGGAGATCTCTGAATGACCTTTTGGCTTTTTTTCTGTCTTAGGGGTGAGTCTACTCATACCACATGGCGCCATCCCAGAGGAGAATTCTTGGGAGATTTATATGTCAATCAACCAAGGTGAACCAAGGTGAGAGACCGAGAAGGCTAGCATATTAATTGTTTCTTTCTTTCTTTTTTTTTTTTGAATATCCAGTGGGGCTTCTGCAGAAAATCTGAATTTATTGTTGAATGAGACAAGGAGGCCTGAGGAGGAAGCAGTGACTGTAAAGAGCACAGTCCTGCATTCCATCTTAAGGTTATTGGCATCTAAACAGGAGGCCCCAAGTGGGAAACTGTGAATGGTGGACAGATACATAAGCAAGAACTGTGCTTAAACTGCCCCACAATCTCCCTTGCAGACAAAATTAAATCACCTTTGCAGGTGCTCCTTGCTGCACAGCACTCTATTGGAGTCATCAGATGGTAAAATCATGACTCTTCAGGTTCATCAGAAGACCTGCTCCTTACAAGCCTGGAGACAGTTTTTTAGATGATTTTCCAAAGTGTAGGGGGAAAAAATGTGGTCTTCAAGAGCTTTCAGGTCTGATGGATTTCAACAGCATTAAATTCAATTACATGAACAAATACAAATCTTGTCGCATACTCTTTTTAATGAAAGTAGTTGGTTATTTTCTTTGTGCAACTATAATATTTGTAGAAATGTTGCCTTCTTCCACACAGGATAAAGTGAGCTACTCTTAAGAAAGCAATTTGTCTCATAAACTGGATACATACCTCTGGCATTTTTAGTCATAACATCTTGGTTATTTTTAAAATAGATTTTCTGTTGTTGTTGTTGTTGTTGTTAGGATGGAATACATGAAAGAAAAACACTGGAAAGAAAAAGAGCCAGAGAAACAGATGGTTGAAACAGATTTTTTATAGTGATTTATACAGAAGGGTTTATGGGTACCCAGTGGTTCTAACTAGCTGTTCTGTAGGGCTTAAGAAGAATGCAAGACAATTGTCTGCTAGCTGGTAATTGGTAAGTCTCTCAGGAGACTTATATGTAGCTATGCTATGATGGACACTTATATCACATCTTCAGCTGTGTAGGAATCAGTCCCTTATCGACACCCTTGTGAAGGTACTTATGGCTTAAGGAACTGCAGCTGGCAGATGTTGGAAACAGACTCAGAGAGGTTAGCTTTGTTTTGGCATGCAACATCAGGCATTGAACCAGGTACTCAGGAATGCTAGGCAAGTACTGAACCAACGAGCTGCATCCCCAGCACAAGGAACAGCAAGAGCTTTAAAGAGCTTCCACTCAATCTTATGTATGTTAGTTACTTAGATGTAACCTCTTTTTTAATCCCTAGATTTTAAAAATGGATACCTATGTGAGTTGAGGTCCCTGTCTGTTACATGTATGTTTTTAAACTCATAATCCCCCAAAAGCCAAGTGCAGTTATCCCTCAGCATCCACAGAGGATTGCTTCCAGGACCCTACAAGGACACTAAAATCCCTAGGTGCTTGAGCACTTTATATGAAGTGTCGCGGTGTGTGCATTTAACCTATGCACATCCCACATCATGCTTTCTGTCATCTATAGATTACTGATAATTTCTGATACCATATTGTGCTGAGATTAAAACTCTACCCATATTCAGTCCAGATGGGATATTTTTGATCTGAGGTTTGTTATCTATAAATGTGGAAGCAGAGGATACAGAGTGCTTGCTGAATAAGGTAGAACCCGTCAATCTTCCCTGAGTCCTGGCCTTTTGCCAACACTGACTTCCCCAAATTTTCCCTTCATTGTAATTGATCTTCTGCGTCTCTGTTCAGCTTCTTCCATTCAAACCCATCCCCAATGTCTGCCACCTCATTATATGAGAGCCTGCCTAGGGCTACTTCACATTTTTCCAAGACAACTAATTTACAGCTCACCTCCATCCGCATCTCTTTCTGGAAGTTTTCCCTTCTTAAGAGGTCAGAAAAAGAAATGTGCCAGCAGGCATCAAGTATATGAGGACTTAAAGGCTCAAAAATATTGGAGGGGAATGATTACACTGGGTACCTTGCAATTTTAATACAAGAGGGAATACTGCCTAGGAACTGACAGAGTCTACTAACCTTGAAAGACAGGTTGGCCTGATGAAGTCACTGCATGGGCCACCTTTTGCTTTTGAAGTGCCATGCTAACCAATTGGACTTGCCCATGTGTATCTAGACTGTGTGCTTCTCCCTGCTCTCCAGGGTAGTGGATACAGATAGGAATTGTTTCTCTAAGACTTTACATCTGCGAGCTGTGTTTTCCTACCTATTTTACTGCAGAAATATAGAATGGTAAAAAGTACACGTTCCCTATTGTAATCTGCCAATGTGTCCTGTGTCCTGATGGAGGGGTCACACTGGGCCACTGGCTATTCTACTGCTTCGGCAATCCTCACTCCTCTTTGAGTGACAACAAAGTGTTTGCAAGATGCTAAAAATGGAAAATGCCTTTCTTCCCCCCCCTCCTTTTTTTTTTTTTTTTTGTTTGTTTGTTAAGCTGGGATGAATTTTTCTGTCTAAGCCAAGAAGCTGCTATAGGTCTGTGTTCTTTAGCTTTTAATCTTCTGGCCATTGTAGCATCTTCCTGTGTCATATCACTTGAAAACCCATTTTCATTTTATTCCATCCATCTGTCAGCAGAAACCTGCCTCTAAATCCAGCGCAGAGCAGGAATGGACTGCCCCATTTCGTTTCATCCCATCCCTTTTTTTTGGGGGGGGGGTGTAAGAATTGGATTTGTGGATACTTACAACTTCCCCACACAGAATACAACAGGATCTTACAAACATAATTATGCTATATTTAGATTCATACTTACCAGGCCTTCCTCTTTACCATGTATCTCTATTATCCCCTTTCAAGTGCCAACCCCAGTGTAGAACTTAGATGTGATTAATCTGAGCTTTCTGCCTGGTTTCTATGGATATGTATAGGGAGTGAAAGATTCAAAATGGCCCTTCTGTTAAAGGAATCTCAGAGGGCTCTACTTTCATGCTTTGGTGTGTGTGTGTGTGTGTGTGTGTGTGTGTGTGTGTGTGTGTGTGTGTGTGTACTGTGTTCATATGTGTATTGGTACGTATGAATACATGTGGTTCATGTGCCTATGTGTCTGATAGGTAGCAGGTGACAGCAGGCTACAGCAACAGCTCCAAGCTCACATATTCAACTGCAGGCTAACACAGAAAGAGCACTGAGTAGAGCAGGAGGATCTTGAGGCCCCTAAGCCTTATGCCTCTGCTGCCCCTATTGCCTGATGATACAAGGTGATAAACCTTTCCCACCAAGGGCACACCTCCTAATCCTTCCCAAACAGTTCCATCAACTGGGGAGCCTGTATTCAAACACATGTCAGTGGGAGCCATTCTCATTTAAACCACCGCAGCTCTCAAAAAGTTGGTTGGTGCATTTCTGATTTGGGGTTTTTGGGTTAAGGGTGTTCACCATGGACCAATGCAGTAAAAAGAGTCATAGAAATAGTGAAAATAGGATTCTGTCTGAAAAGATGAGAAAGGGGCCTTAGTACTATCTTTCTCTCTAGGGAAATTTCCTGATGGCTGTACATCCAGGGGTCTGTGTGTGTGTGGTGGGGGGATCTTAAAGAGTGGCTAGACCTAAATGTCTGTCCCGGATTAAAGTCACTCTGGTGTCACGACACCGACGCGGCATTGTCTTTCTTCCAACTGCACTGCAGCCTTACTGCAGATGGGCGAACGAGTTTCATGCATTGCCCCATTCACCAACCAGGACAGAATGGCCTCAGGTATGGGGACTAGAGTGGTCCCTAGAAAGTGAGTGGTAGCCATATAGGGCCTGCAGAGGAGACTTGCGGATGAGAAACCACTGATTTCTGGATGGGGGCTACACATCATCTGGCCTACGTGCCCCTGCTGACTCAAATAAGCTCACCTCAGCATCTACATTGTCATTCAAAACACGTGGGTTGAGGTTTTTGTTGTTTGGTTTTGTTTTATGTTTTCTCAGCTATCCTTGGTAGGGGATTTCATCCTTTACAGATTAACCAATTTCTAACCATTTTATAAAAGTTAAATTCAGGTATTCAAGTAAAAGGATTCCATGCTGTGGCCCTTTCTGGCCATTCTACAATAAGAACATTATATGTCACATTAGACTATTCCTCCTCACCCAGCTCTCTGCAGCCCACCCCACCAATGGCTGGAGAGTAAAGAGCTGGACCAGAAAATTATTATGGGGAGCTTTCTTCTGAGAAGCAATAAAATGAAACCAAAGGCAAACATTCATTTCTTTTTCCAATTACACTGTCATGTGGATATCCCAGACCAAATGCTTAGACCAGCATCAGAAATGTAAGTGATCTTGCTGAGGCTTTACAAAAGGACACATATTTTGGCATTTGGGTACAGCATGGATTGGATATTTTAACCATTTTGTTTCCTAGGTTTTCATATATATGTAAATATATGATATAGTCTACCTAATGAGTACAAAGTTTGGGGAGGTAGAATTTAGGTCATTTGAAATACCTTTTTGAAAGATAAATAGATAGTGGATGTTGGTTTTAATAGCAGAGTGTGAAATGACATCAACTGCTAAGAAGGCAGAGGATCTCTGGAATTCTGAGAAGGGAAGATGAACTTTCTTCCCCAAGATGAGTTTCTCTCATACTATCAACAGCTTTATATGAGTTTGATTTCACAGTAGACACACATACACACACACACACACACACACACACACACACACACACACACACACACGCACACACTCACACACATGCACATGCATTCACACCCTATTGGTTAAAATATTAAGGCAACTCCACATAGTTAAAAGGGAGGTTTATTTTGTGGGGTAACTTACAAGTGAAGGGATAGGTTATAGGGTCTGGGAAAGGTGTTTTAGCACAGTCCAGTGGTGTTCTCTGAAGAACTCTGCTTGGTCTACCTCCAGTGTCCAAGGTCCAGGAACCAAGAGAGCCAGCCCATCTGGATCCCGGGTCTTCAGGGGTCCTCTCTCGGCTCTGCCTTGTAGACATGACAGCCTCAGTGGGGGTGGTAATTCCAGATCAAAGCTGGAACGGCTACCCACTACAACACCCCATGTACACACAC